GTCGCCTGCATTGACGTCTGCGCCTAATCGTATGAGTTCCTGAACATTTGTACGGTTCCCATGGGCCACCTCCATAGATAACCTCGAAGATCCTACAGTTCCTTCAATGCGTAGGTCGTGATTGAAGTGAGGGCAAGTCGCGTAGTCATGAACGCAACCCCAACGATCCTCTTTTTCACTTGCTCTTGTGTCAAGCTTCGGAGAATCTCTTGTCCGGGCAGGCTCAATGCCATTTTCTTGTTTCTCGTTTCCTAGAAGAATAGCGTGGTCTTTAATGCTGATGTTCTCAAAGCGATCCGTCACGCTAATACGGTGATCAAAACGGCTGGACTCAGGCAGAGCGTTCAATTCAAGTTTCCTGAATCCAGTCGTTTCGAAGCATTCAAAGTGTGAGTCATCGTTCTTTCCTGAAGTAGACGTCTTGATCTCCCAGGATAGCCTTCTCACAGCATCATGCTTCTCAAAAGGGAACATAAGCCGGTATGTGTAGCCGGCGGTATGACAAGGTGCGACAAAGAACCAAATGGTCGCAGGCTCTAATCCTCGAAAGGTGTATGGGCTATTTGACCTAGGCTGACGTAGACTCTCATCGGCGCTTGGGAAGAAGCTGATTGAATGCTCATGAGGTTGCTCGCAGAAAGGGCATTCGGCGAGTGCCCATGTCGTGTCCCATTGTAAGACTCTCGCAATCGCTCGAGAGCCGTTTAATCGCTGGAACTTGGAAGCTAACGATGATGATGGGATCATCGAATGTTGTGTAGTCGAGGCCATTTCAAGTTGTGATGATTTGCATTTGTGCGGGCTGAGGGCTGAATAATAACATGCGCTGCGAGAATTAGTGGAAGAGAGAATGAAAGACTGGAGATCCAAAAATCTCGATTCTCGCACCTGTTTCAATCTCGATGGCTTGTTTCAATGTCCGAATAATGGGTTTGGCCTAGGTCAAATATTGAAGCTTAGTAACCGATTAATCCGATATGAGGACCAATCAAACATGGTGGTTTACCTCTCACTATGACGGCGAGCTTACTTCTCATCATGGTCTTCCCCCGTACTCCGGTGATAAATTTTGAGTTTTCGAGACCTGTGTCAAGTGCTTATCAGCGATGAAATGGGAAATTTGTAATTAATGACTCTGCTGACTTTGGGCAGTGATTCGGGTTAGGTGTTCATCATACCGAATACGAGCATCCAGGACATGGCTATTGCTATGATTTTATGTGGCCACTCAACATAGTCTCATTACGTTATCATAGTCTGGAGTCTGCACAACAGTGTTGCTGAAAATTCAAGAATCAGAGCCCCATGTTATAGCGTCATACTGGAAAAGTTGCGAAGTCTCCATGAAGCCTGAAGCATCTTCTGAGTAAAGACTCTAGGGTCTCTGTAAATCACAGAGACAATTGAGAATTGGGATCACAAGTGAGTATCCCTATCACTAGTCCCAAGCGTCTTTTACTGCGAGCCTCCGTTGATCTGGATTATGGCTAATGATATTCAGCGCTTTTGCTTACTGAAGTTTGACTCCGAGGCTTATTCGCAGCTCTCGCCAATAATAGAAAGCAATAAGGCTAGAAAGATGAGAAACAAGTCCAAAGAACTTCTTGACCAGTGAATTAATCTCAGTCCTAGTAATTTCTATCGCTGAGTGCTATAGCTCGCAAATACACCCTTACGTCGAAAATACTGATAGACATGTATAGGAAACGAACCACAATAGAACATTTCTTAGAGACTTAAGTAGATATCGTTCCACAAATCTTAAAGAAGTCCTTGACGAGGAAACATCTAGCTATGAGCAATCATCCTCATCACTAAGCTCTTACTGCTATCGGGGATGTTTAGATGCAATCATCCCTTGACAGTTGCTAGGTTAACGACTGTTGATGTACAAGTTAGCAGGGCAACGCCTCTCCGCTGGCACAAAGCTCAACAATTTAGTATTTAACTGCATATTTTGGTATGTGAAAGGAAGAATGAATGGATGGAACCCATGAAATCTTTCGAAATGGAAACAGGTGGCGAAAGAGTCGCTTGTAACGGCCCAGACCACCTTCGAGTTCCGCATCGACTTAATTGCATGTGGTGTATTGATGCAGTTGCAATGGTCTGCTTATCTCAAATCATGAATGAATGGCCTTGTTCCAAAGATTATGATACGCGACTGAACCCGAAACCTATCTGACCCCAGTACTAGGCGCCTCAGTCTTTCAAGTTCACATCATGTTCAGGCGATGTTGACAATCAGAAGTCAGGCAAAACGTAGTTTGTCGCTAGCGTACCTTACTCTCGGAATCCGCTTCTCGCCCTTCAAGATGTTCTATTCCCCGGAACGCTAACCTCGCGTGCCCGAACTATCCTTCCTTGAATGGCCTTGTATGGATTCTCCAATGATAGGCCACAGACTCACGCACCTCACACGAGGCAGTTGCCAGACCCCCTCGTCCTGAAAGTAATTTTTCATATCTCCAGTTCTGCCCAATCCTTTTGTCGCAAGCAGAATACCAAGAGTCAGTGTGGGGGTTGGCAACTCCCTTGGCTCATAAGAGCTAGTCTAGCTTCCATGTCTTAGTATCAAAATGGCAAAGTCAGCTCGACAAGGGTCAGGGTGCCGGAATACCGGAAATATCTGGCCAGATAGATTAAAAATGGTAGTGCTAATGATTACGATTCCAAGGCTAATTACCCCACAAAATGAAGAAAAACTGCCACAAAATGAGATCAATGTCTCACCCAAGCTTCAACGGTTTTCTGACTCGGACCAACGACAGGCCACTGACCAGCAAACTGACGCATCCACGCATTATTTAGCCCCCATTACCTATTACTACAACCGTACAGATCCCTCACAAGAAATCGTCTCCTCTGTTTTACTTCCATCGATGAAATCCACATTTCTCGAGTGACACTCATCCCGACTAGCAGATGAAGAATCCCTCTACAGCCAAGAGAATGAAGACCAGGAACATCTTGGTAACTGAGAGAGATGAAGCTGCCTGAGATCCAGTCGAAGCCGAGACCTGGACAGGCGTCTGGGATTGCACACTCTGACTCGTCTGAGAAGGGGCGTTTGCTGAGGCGTTTCTAGTGATTGTCGACAAAGAACCAGCTGTCTCCAGTGGGGCACTTCCGCTCTGAGAAGTCAGCGTGATTGGAATCACGGTTGTGATGGTGGTTGGCGCTACACCGCCGACCTCAGTGGATGCTATTTCCAGAGTCGATGAACTCTGGCCGTGAGTTCCGGAGTCCTGGGAAGCAGAGCTGGCAGCATTGGCGTTCAAGCTGCCAGATTTCGTTGATGCAGACTGCGAAGATGGTGCAGGTTGCTCTCCCACCCTCGACTGTGGGACCCCAGGATCAGCGGAGGCGGTAGGGAGGATCGCACTCGGGCTTGAAAGCCCGAGAGTAACGGTGAAGGTTCCTTTGGGCAAGGCGGTGTTATTGCTCCACGGAGAGGCTCCATGAGGCGTCTCGGAAATCCCAGCGGCAGACACCGGGGGAGAGCCGGGAGAGCCGGTAGGGATGGCCGTATGAGAGGCATCTGAGCTGGAACTCTCGGTGTTGGTACTGACAGTGACTGTTTGTACTGGAGAGACTACAGTGACGGTGATAGGCACAGCAGAGCTGACGATCGCGCCACAGCCATCGTCTCTAGGGCCAAGATGAGGGGCCGCAAGGGCAAGCCCAACGAATAAGGACAAGAGTTGCGGCTGCATTGTGATATAAAGCAGGGAGGGCAATCGACGAGGTGAAGTTCAGGTAAAGGAATGAAGAGCCGATGTAAGAAAGGTTGTTGAGACTTGAGACTGATGAATCTGAATGGCCTCAGAGTGTGTTTGGATATGACAGTCTATATAGGCTGCGGTATATGATCATTGTTGTTTTCTCTTATCATCAGCCCAACGCGGACAACTTCCTTAGCAATCAAAAATTGTCTATATCCGGCTCTTGATGATTCTGCAGCCAACGAGACCCAGCCGACGATATCTTCTGATGTCTCTTTGCACTTTGACTCCATTCCGACTGCGTAAGATTTGACGGACTGGGAAAGGTCAACATTTGCAATTGACAGCAATCCTGGACTTTTGGAGCGGGGAATGGCCTGAGAGATTCGACTCAAAATTCTCTTATCCATATAGAGACCTCGATGCAGATGGGATCAAGTGAATGTTGTGACATCGCGCCAGATGTGAGGTATTATTTTGGAGCTCAGGCGCCGCATGTGGTGTTCTAGACCGTTTTCAAACAGAAATGAGGATCTTCGTCTTGGACCCTTCTCTTGGTAGCTGGTTGTCGAATGATTGGTGTTTTGGGTGGTGGAGTGATGCTCAGCCGGGATGATGCCAGGGAGGACGGAGCAATCCTTGTGTCTCTCAATTTCAGCTTCGACCTTGGCCCACAACATACTCGACCCTCGGCAACTACGGCCGGTACTGGAAAAAAGTACTGTGCTGTTATTGGATATTGGGAAATCATCTTCCCCAGAGGGAAAGTGTGAGATATGACACCAAGGGCTGGAAATAAGACGTCAAGCTGTACGGAGTAGTACCTAGCCAAGATCATGCTGTTTTCATCATTTGGAGCGCGTCTAGATTCAGGACATGCACGTTCTGGGTCGCAGGTTTGCAAGGGCGGGGTTTCCGTAGCACTCGTATGATGTGTAAGATTCTGTAGATTCCTATGCTCTAGCCGAGATGCTGTGAATAGCTTGCTTGGCTACAGTGGTAGCTGAGTGTCGTTCTCCGCATGCGTTCCAGTTCCATCAGATTGAACTTGAAGAGTTGACGAGACGGAATGCAACAGATAAGAAAGACTGAGTAAGTTCTATTCAGTATCAGCTACAGGGAGCATAATCACTTTCTCGATGTTAACATATAAACTACATGAAATCTCGAGAAGATTGAGAATAATACCACCACTCTCTTCTACTCTTTTGTATCTTGTCATTCACTTGAACCCCTGCAACATCAGCAAATACCTTCTTCACTGGTTTTCTTAAAATGCGCGCCTCCAAGAACGCGGCGCTTGTCACTGCCCTGACTTCGGTTCTGGCCCCGGAGCTTGTGTCGGCCACCTCTAGCTGCCTCGCTCCCACTGGAGACCCTGTGACTGTTCAAGCCTACGTAATGGTTGAGCAGATCCCTGTCCATCTCAGCGCTGATATCTGTTCCAACACAACCTTGAGTGTTGCTGGCACTGTCTTGTCCATCACGAACGCTCCGACGTTCCTTGTGTCGGACTTTGTGGTCACCAGTACCATCACGCACACCTCTACTGTGTAAGCCCTCTTACGACCTTTCCCCATGGTTGCTTACTTGGACCATGCTAACACACAATTTGTCTCAGAAACTCTGTTTCTACATTCGATGGTCCCTGCGCTACACTGACTGCTCATGGCGGCCCTGATACTGAGCCTACCACCATTGTCATCCCCCCTAAGGCTGGCGATGAGGTCGGAACAAAGATTATCTGTACTCCTGCGGCCACGGACAATGCTGCCTTCTCTGGTCCCTACACGACTATCACTGCAGGTCAGGGGTCTGGCCAGGGCACGAAGACTCTGACTTTGGCCCCGGCTGGGGGTGATCCAACAGGCACCGTCATTGTTTTCGCTCCCGAAGCATCTGGACAGGTTGGGGCCCAGGGTGTCTTCACGGGGCCCTATACCACACTCACCGAGGCCTGGGCGGGAAGCACCGCGACGACTGTCACTCTGCCGCCTCGAGGTACTGGTAAGACAGGCACTCAGATTGTTCTAAGCCCTACTGCCGCACCAGCTCTCTTCACCGGGCCTTACACGACGATCACCGGCACCTGGACTGGACTCCAGCCAACAACCTTGTCTCTAGCGCCTGAGGGAAGTAACCCAACTGGAACTGCCATTGTCTTCTTGCCGACAACCGCGGGCTTGAGCTCCTTCACTGGACCCTACACCACCGTCACTGGAGCCTGGACAGGCGCAGTTCCTACTACCGCCTACCTCCCACCTCAAGGAACTGATCAAGTTGGAACTGAAATTGTGTTGACGCCTACTTCCTCCCCAACAATCACCCCCTTCACCGGGCCATACACAACCATCTTTGGTCCCTGGACCGGAACAGTTCCGACCACTGCCATCCTCGCGCCTCAAGGAACCGACCAGGTCGGAACTCAGATCGTGTTGACACCCACTTCTGTGACTGGCTCCTTCACTGGGCCATACACGACTCTGACTGGCCCTTGGACCGGGAGTGCTCCTACCACGGTGACCCTAGCTCCGGCTGGAACGGATGCCACCGGAACTCAAATCGTTCTCGTTCCCACAACCGCCGCTACATCTTTCACTGGTCCTTACACAACTCTGACTGGACCATGGACTGGCACTATTCCGACTACAGTCACGCTTGCTCCGTCTGGAACCGATGTCACTGGAACTCAGCTTGTGCTTCTTCCTACCGTCGCTGAGACTACCTTCACGGGCCCTTACACGACTATCAGCGGTCCTTGGACTGGCACTGTCGCCTCCACGCTGTCCATTGCTCCTACTGGCACCGCTACTGTTGGAACCGTCATCATCTTCACTCCGGCTGACCCTACGACTTCTATAAGTGCCAGTTCTGGATCTTCAAGCAACACTGCATCGTCACCTTCAGCTACGTCATCTGACCTAACTACGACCTCTGGTGAAGCGTCTAGTTCTGCCACCTCGACGTCTGTCGTAGAGAGCACATCCTCTGCCGACCCGAGCAGCTCTTCGCAAACTTCTTCGAGCGTTGCGTCCAGCTCCCAAGAGTCTTCCACCAGCTCCCTTTCATCCTCTGACTTGGCAAGCTCAACCTCCACCGACCCTACCAGTCCTACCCTGTCTTCTTCTACCACGTCGACTGATCCTGCTACATCTTCATCTTCCTCGAGCACAAGCTCTGAGTCTTCAAGCGCAACTTCTTCTTCATCTAGCTCTTCGACCGAGTCTTCTTCAAGCTCATCCTCGTCCTCGTCTAGCTCATCATCTGAGTCTTCCTCTAGCACGCTGACGGGAACTCCAACAACCACAACTTCACAGAGCTCCACAGTTTCCGCATGCGTCGTGACCGCAACAAGCACCTCGGAGTACTGCAACGTTGCCTTGCCTGGAGCCTGTGCTTCACTGTCAACCACCAGCGGTCTCGCTCTCGTGCCGGTTGTGGCATCTTGCACCGTGGCCCTCGGTCCCTACGCAGCAGGCAACGTTGCGACATGTCTTGCGACCAACGTGGGCCTCACTACGGCCGGTTCAGACATCGCATCCTGCATTCTCACCGCTCTCGAAGGGCGTTGTATCTCCACCCTGCCGACAGCGTGTACAGATCTGGCGTCGTCCAATGGTCTGGCTCTTGTCGCGGACGTAGCCCAATGCACCATTGCCCTGGGTCCCTTCGCCGCTGGGAGTGCCGCAACCTGTCTTGCAACAGGAACCATTACAGCATCTACCACGGGTACGAGCATCATCCAGTGTCTCGAAATTGCCTTTGGCCTCCAATCTGGCGTGGTCACAATCACCAACTCCGCTTACTGCCCGACTGCCACTGCAACCCCTACGCCTTCGGTCTGCGCCACGGTCCCTGAGCCTTGCCAGAGTCTCGCCTCTATCAACGGCATTGCCCTTATTGCGGCGATTCCGGTGTGTACGGCAGCCCTTGGCGCTTACGGTGTTGGAAACGCGGCAACCTGTCTTGCTACCGATGTCATTGGCCCTCTGAGTGTTGGACAGGACATTGTGACCTGCTTGACGACTGCTCTCACTACACAGTGTATCTCGACTTTGCCCGAGCCTTGTCTCGCCCTGGCGGGTGATACTGCAGCGGAGCTGGTCGTCGACCTGCCGTTGTGCACAGCTGCCCTTGGCCCATTCGCTGTTGGAGCTGCCCTTACTTGCTTGTCCTCGACCGCTACCAACGGAGACTCGGTCGTTGCCTGTCTCAACACCGCTTTGTTTTCGACTTAAGTCTGACTCTGTGGTAATTCTAATGACTAAGAATTGAGAATGAGGTTTCCGAAACTACATGTGGTGTAGCATCAGGCTAGTACTTGGGGTTAGGCTTGCGAAGAGAAAGGGAGTTCTTAATCAAGCGTGTATCTCATGTTGATGGAGAGGGGTACGAAACGACTTGATGTCAGGTGATTCCTGTGTGGCCGTTTTCATTTCTTAGCACAGTTGTTTGTTATCCTTAAGTGTTCTAATGATGTTTTCAGCCAATTTTCCGTGGTCTACGAAATCTAGGAAAGATGTTTAATTATCTATCATTCGGCCGTGAATCAGAAAGTTGCTGAATGCTCTTGGAACCGCAGCATGGGTTGTCCCAAACATCCAGTCTGGGCTTAAAATTTGCCTCTAGCTTGATTTGAGAAAGGAATTAAATGGAACTTGTCTGCATTAATATTCTGAGCTTCGATATGGATATGCTGAACGTTGAACTTTCAATTGACTCCAAAGTGCATGCGTGACTATGGTTGACAAAATTCCATCTTATGGAATTAAAATTCTGAACCTCTTTGTGTCGTCAGATGTGTATTGAATCTACCATCTAAACTGCGCATCCCCTCGTCATTCGCAGTGCATTTCTTGGACATCTTGGACAGCATCGCAGTCTCCCCATCTGTTCTAACGATGATCGACTATCTGTCTCACGACAAAACCGAAATCCCAGTTCCTCCTACCAAAATTGGCAATTCCCAAGGTGTGCTCATCAAATCGCGATGCTCCACTCAATACCCTTGCGAAGAGTCCCATCATTGTCATGTCCTCCAAATGCTTGCCAAGTGTCTAGGCACATGTCGATAGATTGCTCGCTGCTAGTGTTTTGGTCTGCTACAACAGCCTTTCGAGTAACACCTTTGTGGGTCATCGTGATGACTTTGCCACAGAGCTTGTTGTTCTGCGCTTGACCATACGGCTCAAATATGCCGGACGGCATCGCAACCAGTGGTAGACTACGGTCGACAGAGTTCGCAAAGTAGGTACTGAGACCACAAGCGCCGTTTCTCCAGAAAATGTTGCGGCAGGCAGTTGCGTCGCCGAACATGAAGATAGAGCCCTTTGTGTGAGAGCCTGAGACTGTCTCGCCGGCGACAGCCTGAGACGCCCCCAGGATAAGAAGAAGACTCGGAAGTAAGGAAGAGAGCATCTTGCAAAAGTTATATATTGATAATCGACTGTGGATTTTGTTATAAGGTGTATGGCGCAGCCACAGTTGTGATTGTTGGCGCTGACAAGACTGATTTGAGAGAATGACTGATGGAAAAGGTTCATGTAAACTGGGAGTAAGGCTAGATAATAAGTATTCTTTTTGTGGCACTCAGCCGAAGAAACTCCAAGCTATCAATCCTACTTTTCGACTCGAGGGCGATGAGTGATTCCCTCTTGCAAGGTCAGCTATCCTTGATAGAGGACTAGTGATCGTGTACTGACTCTCGATGAACAGAGGCTTAATCTCGGCATAGCCTACTTCCCGCGTCCCACAACCATTTTGCGCTGTAATCCATAGGATGAAGTATTGGAAACCACTGGCCAGCTATCCGGTATCCCACACATACCTTCCACTTCTGTCCATGAGCGTCGTACTGTATAATTCAAGCTTGGCTGCAAGTCTCACTCAGTTAGTAACTCAGCTACTATCTCAAGTCATCAAACCTTTGATGGTACCCACTCTTACGGTAACTGTGATATCAACTACACCATGATGCGTGCGTGCATCAGCTAGCTGATCCGCATTAGTTGCGATTCATGAACTGGGAGCTATTGAATGCATAGAATGATCGGGCGTCAAACTCTCCGAAGCACCACTTCCGCTCTTACGGAAATTGGGGTTCGTCGGGCCGTATGGGATAGTTGACATATGATGCGGTCCCGGCTGTCTTACATCCGTTCAATTGTTTTTAACCTGTCTATTTAGGCTAGTGAAACAGACTAAGCAAGGACAATCGGCCCGCCAAAGAGCGATCCTTGGTTGCGGAACCAAGCTCGAGCAAGTCTCAATTTGGCTGCCTAGACATCCCGGCCGGGAATATGAACAAGATTTCCTCTTCCGTCCAAGTTGAAGTTTTACCACTTGAGAAGTCATCATTCCGAATCGACAAAGGAGTCAGTGGGTCTTTTGCAAAGGACTGGCGACAACGAGCAAGAATTCGTTCTGCATCACTGAGTTCCCACATAATCATTTGCGATCACACGTTTCAATGCAAGACTCGAGTACTAGTCGTCTCGTAGAGTTCATGCTAAGACTAATCTATTCAACCCTTACACGGCGCAAAGCTCTAGCCTTCTATGACACTGGTCAATTGATTCAGCTTGAGAACAGACAATGGCGTCCAGAAATGCCGGAAGTCTTCTGTTGTCGCCGTTCTATGAACCTGAAGGATTTAGATCTGCAGTCTGTTGTCCCAGGTGAACGTTACTCTGGGATAGGTCCATACGATATGTCTTTAATAAAACGCATTCCAAGCTAGGCTGGTAATGGCGTGGTTTACACGACTCAGGGGCTCGGGACCTTGGATCAGAGTGTTTCTCGGCCGAAGCTCATTGCAGGAAATAGTATTATAAGAAACGAAACATTGTCGCTGTTCGATCAAAGAATCTGTTCACCAGCTTCAAGAGCTTTCTCATTCGCTCAAGTCTCGCCAAACTTCTATCACCATCATGTTCCCCAATTTCGCCTATGCGTGTGCCTTCGCCACGCTACTAGCTGTACCTGCGACGGCAATAGACGCTCCGGCTAACATTAAGGCCTTTTACGACCAAGTTCGTGGCCGGAAGCAATGCTCCAACGTTCTCAAGACTGGCTTTCATAGCAAGGAGGGCGGCAAAGGAGGTGAGCTGACCGGGACAAGTCCAAAGCCGAGAAATTGCCAGCGACCCTAACAAAGGTAAATTACTCGCATCACAGATTACAGCTATTGTGGCGACTACTTGAGCAATTACAATGTCGTCTACATTCAGGGTTCGGGAGGTCGCCTCGCGAACATGGACATTGATTGCGATGGTGCGCAGACCCATGGAGACAGCCGATGCGGTTCTTCGACCGACACGCAGTCGCAGACGTCTTTCAAGTCCGAAATTCAAGGTTACAAGGCCGGAATCAAGGACTTGAACGCGTATGTTCACCCTTACGTTGTTTTCGGCAACGACGGGTCCAAGCCCGGCTGGCCTACCTTCGATCCGAAGAAGCACGGCATTGAGCCCCTGAGCATCATGGCAGTAGTTTGCAACAACAAAGTTGTGAGTTTATCCCCTTTACTCTTCGACATCTGTTTTGCCCTCGTTATTGGCGCAGCTTCTGAACCTTGAGTACGTAGATCTATGGTGTTTGGGGCGACACCAACGGTGATGATGGCGACCAAGCCATGGTCGGTGAAGCATCGCTTTCTCTTGCCACAGCCTGTTTCGGAACTGGTATGAATGGCAATGCTGGACATGACCAGAGCGATGTACTCTACATTGCGTTCCCAGGCAAAGACGCCGTTCCTGGTGCTCAGGGTGCCAAATGGGCCGCTGGGTCCTACGATGAGTTTGAAGGCAGCATCTCGGCACTAGGAAATCGTCTTCTCAAGAGAATTCGAGCTTGAACTTAGAATTCGCCTTAACTGGTACAATATACCAGATAGCTATAGATGCACGCAGCACATAGATTCATGGCGACGAGAGACGTGGAGGAGACAGCGTGTAGGGTGACGGAAAAGGTTTAATATTCTTGTATATTAGCAGTATTGAATTGCCTTCGCGGCTTCTTTAAAATCACACTCTTTTGAAAGAATTGGTTTTTTTCAAATCTTTGTTCGGGTAGCATCAAGTAGATATATCTACTCACTACTAGTACTGAGTTTAGTTGCAATAACTTACTCACTTTGGCCTTGATTAACTTGAACGACACAGTTTTTATTTGGTATGAAAGCCAGTCGTTCACAATAACTGACAATCTTCCCTCGCGAATGTGTCACAATCAGTCTTGGCTGCCAATGAATGTGTAATAAATGGTCTTCACTTGGGCGTTTGCCAATTTCCTTTGCCAAAGTTGCTGAACGACATGATGCTGCTATTCTGGCATATGTCCCCTTGAAAGAGCCATGTCAGGTCGGATCTTGCAGCAGCATCGATCGGGGCACGAGAAGAGCTGAGTGATGGACAGCCGGTTATATGTTTTTCATACTCATCGGTTGTACGTGAGCATCGGGATCATCTCTCAGTGAGGCTTATAGCAGCGATAAGTGAGAGCTCTGGGTAGCAAGCATGCATGTGATGATGAAGGATTGGTGCACGATTTCAAAATGATGTTATTTACAGGCAAATGCCGAGGGAAAGTAATGATGCATCCACCTCCAGAAGTGCCAAAGCCATTTCCAATATACTAAGAGTTTTGAAGGATAATGGGGAAAATTCCCCATCCCAAACGAAGCGAATGTTGAATAATGTAGAATCCTACGTGTAGGAAAGACGGATACGATTTGCTCGACTTTCCAAGTAGCCCCTCATACGGAACCATCTTCTATCCACAAACACCAGAAGTGGCAATAGTGTTCAAGTCCTTCGGAATGACACCAGCAGCAACGGCGGCTAAGACAGTCAGTCAAATGTGTCGAGGATGTTTTGAGACATATGTGGCTTACCTTTATAAGACCATCGGTAGTCATCGCCCAGCGCGGTCTTCCACGTCCAAAACACCCAGCCTGCGGTCGACTTCTCGTAAGCGTAGACCTGAGCAGCAAACCAATGCTTGTAGAAGGCCTTCTACTTGGCTGGAGCCCATCCATCCGTTGATTCAACGTTGTCTGGCACTGCGATACTCCACTCGCCAACAATGGTAGGCCCAGCGGCATCTGAATTGCGGTTATCCTTGCAAGAGGTCGAGATGTAACTTTCATGCGAAACAGCCACGCTCGACGACCACTTGAGATAACGGTGATCGTCGAATGCAGTGAAGTAGGTGTCAGTCAAGAACTCAACCGGGTTCCCGGAGCCCCAGTTGGTGTTCATCATCTGCACATGGACGTAATTGTTGCGAGAAACACCGAGGTCTTTCTCGACCTGACGGATTCCCTGTACCAATCTCATCAGCCCTTGCGATAATAACGCCACCGTAGGCGAAGCGTAGTGTGACGTACCGCGTAAGCGTTCTTATAGAAGACGGATCGCATCGATTGGACCTTGCGATCCCAGGCGACGGGCTCGTTCAAAACCTCAATCATGCCGACGTTGCGGAATTCATTGTGATCGTGAACAAGCTTTCTGAGGAACTTCAGGAATTTGACACCGCGATCGTATTGGTAGTCATTGTAGAAGCCCGGTGTAGTAGCGTACTATTGTCATATACCAAATGTCGTGATGGCTTCAACCATCCATGGCCTCACCGCATATCACGTGACCTCGGTTATATAATCACCCGAGGTCTATACTCGCTTATATTCTTTATTTTAGGGCGAACCTCGTACTTATTTTTTATTTTTAATAAATAACCGTTTTTTATATTTAATGTTAATACCCTTATTTATAATTATATAATAGTTATAAACTTAGCTCTAACTTAAATTACTAAACCTTTATTAAAAAGTTATTTTTTAAGAACTACGATTTATTATATCTTTTTTTATATTTAATTTTAATCCCTATTACGCTTATAAAGCCCGTTCCTAAGTAATTATATTTTTTAAAAAGGTTTTTAAAATAATTAGGTATAAGCTTAATTATTAACGAAATTAGCTAAAATAGTACTTTGTTTTATAAATAAAGGCCCGCTTAAAAAACGTTTAGGACTTATTTAACTTAAATAATATAAAATTACTTTTGAATTTTTTATTTTTTACTAAGTCTATTTTATTTATTAAGGAATATATTAAAATACGAAATACTATTTAAAAATAAACTTATAGAGCGGCTATAGCTAAGTATAACCGATAATTTAATTATTATACTTAGTAAAAAGCCCTAGAAAATAATACTAGGGACGATTTAGTATAATAAGACGGTTTTGTAAAGCAGCCTTTTTTTTTTATAAGGCCTAAGCTAATTATAATTAACTAAGCGCGTTTTTTTAAAAAATATACTTCTTTTATTTAGTAAACGGCATTTAAAATAATCTCTTAGTTATAAAAAAAAAATTATATAAATTAATAAACCGCTAAATTACTAACTCTATTATTTAGGATATTTTAGAGAATATAAAAGAAGAACTTATTAATTTACCTAACTATTTACTTTATATAATAATTAAAGTTTTTAAGTAAAAGTACGCCCTAAGTAACTTAAGTTTGCTTATAATTACCCGAGAGGAATTTAATATAGTTATAAATAAAGTAAACTTTAATATTAATCTTATTATTTAGATTAAGGATTTTTATTTAGCTTATTACCATATAATATAGCTTTAACTACCCAAAGTCTAAGAGACTTTTATTTTTAAATCCTTTCTCTACATAACTACTTACTACTTCGTTTTAAATTAATTTAATTAAAAGCTTATTAATATTATAAAAATAGAGCAAAGGGGCGAGGTAGTACCTAATATAAGCTATTATATTAAGATATTTAATAACTTCTTATACAAGGAGGTAGTATATAATAAAAATTATAGATAAAACTTTATAATTTTTATAATATTAATAGGTTATTTAGACTCCCTTAAGTAAAGCGAGGTAAAACTTAACTTATTTATAAACTACTTTTATAAAAGGACTTATTACTAAAAACTAATTAAGTACGTAAAAGTAGAGTTTACCCTTATTAAAAAAACAAAATAGGAATATATTTAATTAGACAAAACCGAAGTTAGTAGGATAATTACTTATTTAAATATTAATAAATATACTAATTTTTATACTAACTTTACTTAGAAAGGCTAAATATAAGCGAGAGCCCCTAGTAAATTTAATAATAATAACTAAGGAAGAGGTAAAAAGCTAAGTAAACTAAGAAAGTTAATAAAGAAATAGGATTTTAAAGCGTTTTACCCCTTAAATATTATAGCTATAATTATTAATATCGCTCTATTATTAAAGTTAAATACGATAAATAATAAAAACGCTAATTTTATTATTTTTTTTATTCTTTTTACGGGCTTATACTTCTTTTTTAAATATATAGTTATAAATAATTATAGCATAGTTTATTTCGTTAATAACTAGTTATTTTTAAAACTTAGATTAATTTAATAATATAATAGGACTAAGAATATAAATTTTAGGATAGCATCTTATTTTATACTCGCTCGTAAAACGAGGATTATTTAAAACGTTTTTATAAGAGCGAAGGGACCTAGAACTAAAAACTTAACCCTTTATAATATTAGCTTTATTAAGAATTTCTATATTAATATCGTATTAAAAGCCCTATTTTAAAAAACGGGTATTTAGTACTCTAGTTTTAATTATACTTTTTATTTTAATAACCTATTTAAGAACGTCGTAATAAAATAGCTTATTAAAAAAGTTAATTTAGTTTTTTTAAAATATAAGCCCTATTCATCCTATTTATTACTTAGAAGTCTTTTTTTATTAATAAACGTAATTTTTATCTATAATTAGTATATACCTCGTCCCTTATATTAACTAAGGAGTAAACGAACAGATTTAACATAGCTCTAGTACCTTCGGTCTAAATATCTCGCGCCAGTAGTACTTAAGAAACTCGTACTAGCCGCTCGGGGGGTAAGGATCAAGGGACTAAGTCGCCTAGAATGCCAATACTATGCAACCACCTATGCGAAACAGGTCATCTCACGACACCAAATCAGAACGAATCTCTTCTTCGACGCTAGCGAAGAAATTATTGTGATCTCCTACCTGGCCGGTGAACGGGTTTTGCCGCTCTTGTGCACCTGGGGCGCCGTGGTGGCTAGATTACTGTCAGCTTAAGGACAAGGATACCTAAGGATAAGATAATAATCGGACGTACCCCAAGATGATGTAGAAACCACGGTCACTAGCCCAGCCGCAAAGCCGGATCAAGTACGTCAGAGCACCCTATACAAGTCAGGCATTGTTTCCTTCGATATCGCTCTGATAAGGATGGCGAAGGGGATCTCACCTTTGGGAAATGCTCCGACTTATCGACGAGAGACTCGTCAAGCCAATATCCAAGGGGGATGCGGATGGTGTTGATACCGTAACTCAACATCTCGTCCAGATCGGCCGCCGTGAACCAGGTGTCCCAATGCTTCTGGAAAGCAGTGTCAGATTTTGCCTGCCCAAGCTTCGAAACGCAGTCGAATTCAGACTTGTAAGCACCGCAGCCCATCTTGTTCCATTCGCCTGAATCAATCCATGGCTCATAGACGAAGACTGAACCTAAGTTGACTCCTCTGATCTTTCCAGAACTGGTCCACCATCGTGGAGTGACACCGCTTGTATTGGATGTCCCATTTCCTTCAAACAGGCTGTGTCCGTCGGTGTTGACGAGCTTGGTGGAGCCATCATTTGGCAACCACGCGTAAGTAGCCGGCAGTGCGCAAGCAAGCGCCAGAAGAGAAAGAATGACCATATTAGGGTGATTTGAATGCAAAGTGAGTGTGGAATGAAAATGAAGATGAAGGTGAAGGATAGTAGAGTAAGGTGGTGCAGTTTACTAAGAGGTGCGGGTGGCGGATGCAATGTTATAAGCCAACATCTCAGGATACTTAGAAACTTCTGCGAGGGGCAGCCGGGTAACCTTGACTCGTACACAGGAATGGAAGATTGCGCTCTTTCAACGCAAGATTGAATCCCAGCATCGGACGTCATTGTCTGAAAGGGTGTCATAATCAGCTCCCCTTTCACATTTCTTTTCGGGAACTCTTCGTTGATCATGTTGCAACTTTAGTTGTAACAATACAATCAAAGTAGGATGCGCATTCTCTCCACCTCGATGAAAACTCTTTGAGCGGCTCTGGATATCTTGGACATACCCCTGAATGAACGGCAATGGATTCTTGGGCATGCGAATCCGTCGAAATTGCATTGTTCCAGGGCCAGACACGCGCTCAGCTATCCTCGCAGTTCCAAAAAGTCCCACTCGTCTCGCGCTTTGGAATCCTAGGCGTTCGAACCACATCATCCTAGGACGCCATGCCCCTTCGATGCCACTTGAATCCTAGTATGCATTGATAGATAGCTGCCTCCTCTCTTGGCTGCCTCCCATATGCTTCTGGATTGCTGTCGCGGTGACGCATCATTCTAAATGCGGCTTGTACCCCGGATTATCGCTGAATGTGGGGTGAATGCCATCGCGCTATTTCACGTATTGGACCCCGAAGTTGAAACAAAGGTATGTGCAGACAAAAGGAGGAGAGACACGCAGCGTACTATTCCTTTGACGGCCTGAGATAGTTCAGGACAAAAGTCCCTGCTCCGAACAAGCGCGGGCCGCTATCACAAACAAGCGGTGATCAGACAACACACACCATTGAGACTAATAGCCGCAACTGCCAACTGGTTCTAGAACAGATTGTTAAATAACATGGTCGTATGCAGCGATGATCTATCGGGCCGAAAGAGATGGTTCCTCACTTATGATGTTATTTAGGCACCGAGATTTCCAAAGGGGTGATGCCATTCTCGAAATGAGGGGCGTTGGGAGGCAGTTGCTAATCTTGCGGAACTAGTGATGATGAAAAGGGTATAGTAATCACCGCATACCGGCTGCCTAAGCAGGATGCATTGAATTATATTCCCGTCTTAGCCCGCCCTCAAGTGTCCCCATGCCTATTCAAGGTACGTTATTGCCTTATAACACAATCAATGTCGGGCAAGTTGTTTCCCGAGAGAACAAAATGGATTAAGACGGCGTTTGGTCCTATCGTGGGATGGAATATCAAAGTGTCAGGTTCTGAAGCAACTTATCGTGCACGTGTCTTGGGTCATTCTCAACACCCCACTTATGATCCCTTAGCATTCAACACTTTACCATTGATTGTTTAACTCACTTTTTAAGGGCTATAGCGACGTACTCTTGATGCGGCGCATTTAGATGAGCGCGGGATGAGTTATGATTGATGGTTGTATGTGATGTCCTGCTATGCTCATGGATAAGGTAGCCACATCAGTGGTGGAACCCCTTTCGGCATCATCCACCTTTTGTAAACTTCCAGTCATTGTTGCGACTTGCTTCGCTTCAACGTTCAGGCTATTACTCCACTTGAACATCCTTTGAAGTCTCTGGAGGCCCTGGATTCTGATACCATGGGCTAGCAAGAGATCTATCTCTTGCTTTACGCTTATCGAAGTTAATCCTGATGCCATGAAATATCGGCGCTTGATTGTGCGACATATGAAGACTTTTTGAAAGTAGATGTTGAAAAGATGCTTGAGATTTACAAGAGAAGGTTATTTATGCAGCGGTGGTCGTTTAAGAAACTTCTTTCTGATCTAATTTCGGGTAAAGCCTGTCGATCAGTGATGCAATCAGTATTGAGCCCTTGATGAGGCTCACTGCCCAGGTAGTCTGACACAAACTACGCGCGAGATTAGTATTGTTTCTCCGTGGCGGCCTTAAATTGACCGCAGCTGACAACATACCTGCATCAACCTCGTAGCAGCCACCGGAGACGTCCGCCATGATATCCGCCATTTCCACGGCCTTTTCATGGCCACCTGATGTCTATACGTGTATCTACCTGAGTACATTCATTCTCTATGAAGATTGCATGTGCTGTCGCTGACATCGTTGATAGACTTGTGGGAAATAATCAATGAGTGAAGTTGTTACATTCACACGCAGGCACACTCTCGGAGGTTTGCGTGGCTTCCGGCAAGAGTACCGTTGCTCCGACGCTCTCGCTCCGACGCTCATGATCAAGGTGGACTTGGCCAACTGATTGATGCTGGAAGAAAGCCTTCAGGACCAAAGTAGTATTGGAGAATCATTCGTAAATTTCGCCGCCATTGGCCAAACCTCGGCGATTCAATGAGGCTCAAGATCCGTCGCTGTCTTGCACTCACACCGCCCATTCCCCGAGCCCGAAAGTAGTCCTCATGACGCGTGGGCCTGGGCTGGATCTCAGTCCAGACTCACTAGGTTCATGCAGGCGCCAAGTACCAAGGATCATTGTACTGGCGCAATGCCTGTCTGCCGGCGCATCTCATAACCGTGGCGCTTCTTGGGGGTTGCATTCCGCCGCACTGGCTGAGGCTCAATGAGTATTGAAGCGCTCTTGGCAGAAGCCAAGACTGATTGGCAGCCAAATACAGTTGCTTAGATGTTCTACCAAGACCCTAAGGAACTCTTGTTTCTATTTGAGCCTCAACAAGGCAGCCACAACTTCTGGGACACTTTTCTCAAGGACATTATGGAGATATTTCTCTGGGAACGTCTTCAATTTTGCTTTCTTCACTGAAAGTATCGTGAACAATGTGGAGCACGCACCACCGACCGGTGGAGGAACAATACACCACGGACAAGCTCAAATCTCCACTCCGGACGAATCCCGCCCGGCGGCCTAGCGAAACACCGCGGACGGCGTTGACTCGCGCCTTCGCTTTCGCGCTCCCCCCACCTCCATGGGCCGATAAATGCGGTATTTTTCGGAGGCGGGCAGCGGGAGCAAGCAAGGTGATGGTCCCCAAAAAATAACATCTAAGCAGGCAGAGTACGGTATCGGTATGCATCCCGATCCCATATACCATCGGGCCGGCTGACTGATGCACCCTCTTCCAAAACCGAATTCAGCATTCTTCGCGAAGAGCGTCTGAAAAGAGTGGCAATACTCTGCCGAAGTCCCGGATCTCTGTATGCTTGCATGATGCAAGAGGCTCCCGAGTCTTCGGCCCTTTCGCTCGCCTTGCCTTCGACCTCGAAAAGTTCGTCCTTTGTGATATCTCTGTGCATCGATGGAAAATGGAAGGTGTCTCTGGGGCGTGTTATCTTTTTGTCCATTTGTCTGATGATGAGTGCATGCCAAGAGATGTCGCCAAGGTCTCAAAAGCTGAGACCAAGGAACCGAACATCTCAGGGCCGCCCAGTTCCCACGTCAACTGAGCACCATATTTCATCTGAATGGGATCATCAGTGTGCACGTTTCTGGGGTTTTGCGGAGGTGAAGAAAGCTTGGCAAAAATGTTTTATTCAATGTATTGGCATTACCAATGAGACTCGAGGTGATGAATATGGCTCGAAAGTCAGAACCCTCACATTCTTCTCGCAACTACGCGAAGAGCCCCCCAGGTCCAACAAGCCGGGAGCTCCGAAGACTCCGATAATCTACTTTGTACCCCACGAACATACTGATCAATACAGTCGTTCCGAATGGTTGAGATGCCTTAATGAGGAAGCTTTCGACTCGTCAGATCTATCCGGGGGAAGTGGACTGGGGGTCGATATAAACGGCTAGAGTGGACGAGCTATCCAGGGTGTATCCTCCTTCTCACCCCAAAGAAATGTCGGCCTGGCCCCACGTCTCCGCACCCTCCTCTCCTCTCCATGGGGGACACGGAAGGCATTGGATACCTCCGCACTCTCCCACACACGGCTCCATCATGGAGTTATCTAAGCGCTTCGTGGGGCTATAGATCTGTGTTGAGGCTTAAAGGCCACTCGTTTCTCCTTACTCTCATGGGGAAAAACCGAGAGAAGAAGGACACTACGCAACTTGTTTCCTTTCTTCTTCTTGTCCACTCTTGTTCATTCTATCCGTTTGTACCAGTGTATGTGTGCGTATTGTTCGCGGAACGCTGCAGGAATCATGGGTTCCAAGAAGTACTTTGGCCTAACGGGCAACGCCCTCAACAATCTGAGAATCGCCCTCATCATCGCGCCCAGCTTTATTCTTTACGGGTACAACATTGGCGTCGTCGGCGGCCTGCTGACGGAGGAAGACTGGGTCAAAACGTTCCCCGAGATCGACACCGTCCACACATCCGGAGCCCAGAAATCGGCAAACTCGACACTCCAAGGCTTCATCGTCGCCACCTTCACCATCGGAGCAACTATCGGCTCACTATCTTGCTCCTGGACCGGCGATATCTACGGCCGCCGAAACATCATCTTCGTATCCGCCATCATGACACTCATTGGCGAAGTTCTCATGGCAGCTGCTTTTGGTCTCCCCCAGTTCGTGGTTGGCCGTGTTCTCACCGGCCTAGGCATCGGGCAGCTTAGCTCCATCGTCCCGGTCTGGCAGTCCGAGACGTCTGCTGCTGCCAATCGCGGTCGGCAAGTGGTTATATCCGGCGTGTTCATGTGCGTGGGCTACATGCTTGAATCCTGGATCGATCTCGGCTTTTTCCAATTCCACTCTGGTCCCATTACGTGGCGCCCGCCTCTGG